CCATGCTAGTACATCTGATGATGATGCATCTTCAGGTAATAAAGCTGATAAATATAGTAATGGCTCTGATTCATAAAAGGATGATGGTACAAGTTGTCCTGGTGCTTGAAGTTTTTTTTAGTTTTGTTTGGATCTGTCTTGTGATCCTATTTATTTTGGTTTATGATTATGTAAGGGTTAAATACCCAAAATATTTTTAAATTTTTGCACCCTGCTACTATAACTTTAGGTGCTTAATTTTTTTATACTAATATTATCTGCTTACCTTTGTCATATTGTGGCTACAAAGGGGGAGTAATATGATATTGAGGGTGCTGGAGCTGACACTTGCTGAGGGGGAGAATTCTATGATTCTCTGTTCTGTTTTGTGATAACAGGTATTGAGGGGGAGTTCCTACTGTTTTGAAGAGATGTCAGACACGATGTCTTGACATCATGGTGTGAGAACTTAAGTGTTCTCTATTTTTGGTGCAACTGTGTTAGTAGATATACTAACTACTAACTATTTGATGTGTATTTTTGTGCTGCTAACCTTGCATATGTGTTTTTTCCGTTGTTGTACCTCTGATGTGTATGCTTGATTTATTTTCAAGCATACTTTATCGTGCAAGGGTTGTTTGGATGTTTTAGCCAAAATGTGCCAAAGGGGGAGATTGTTATTTCTATGAAATTATGATTGGCTTACATTTTTGTTAAAACCATTTTAGCAACGACATGTTGAACAAGATATTCCAACATTTTGTCTTCAACATGTCGAGTAAGATGTCCCAACAAGGAGTTAGGATATCGCGTCTGTAGCAAGCTGACAGTGTGGATCAACTGACTTTTAGCTATTGAATTTCAGAGAATATTTAGTTAGCTTATGTGGCATCCAAGATTGACAAATCAAAATATTCTTACGTTGGTTTTTGAAGATTGCATAGTTTCTGATTATGGAGACATTTTAGGAAACTAATGATTAAATACCTATTATCTTGGAGGAGTTTTTGCAGACTTTATGCAGCCTCACTGCTGCGGTTTTGAAGCCCAATCCAGTGAAGAATAAAGTTATAAATATACTGGTGTATACCTAGTTTTAGGTAGAACTTACGTGTGTGTTTTTAGGGTTGTAGAATCCTTATTTGTGAGTCTCTCTAATATCATCTTGATAGAAGAGTAGGACTATTTTGTGGGTGTAAGTTCTCTGTTAGATGTTCATAAGCTTTTAAGTATTGGACATATTATTTGTCAATTCTCATAAGCTTTTAAGCATTGAGTCTTGCGTGTTTTAGAAGTATAACTTCCGATTGTTTTTGTTCTCTACTTGTGTTTAGAGTTTGCTCAAATTACTGAGTGTAATTGAAGACGTATTTGAGGAGGGCCCCATACCTAGGTGTGTCTTACGTAGAAGTTAAGTAAAGGGTAGTGATTAAGTGCGTAGACTATAAACTGGAGGTTTGTTGTAAGGTCTGCAAATTGATACTATCTAGTTAATTTCGTCCCTGACTTGGTAGCCTCCAGAGTAGAAAGGTTATTCTGAACTGAGTAAACATATCATGTGTTATTTACTTTCAACACTATTATATTGTGTTTATACATCTTGCCTTTGTGTGTGAAGTTGGATCCAATATCTCGATATCTCTTAGGACATCTAAGATCTGATAGCCAAAATTTCACTTTGTCTTCAACAACATGGCAATCAGTTTTTATATGCTTAGTTCTCTATGGAAAACTAGATTTTCTGCTATGTCAAAAGATAATTTGCTGTCATAGTAAATCACAATTAGAGAAAAGTGCTTGATGAGAAAATCATGCAACAAGTAAACAATACATCGTCCTTTACATGTGGCTTAAGATAATACTTCATATTAAGTCTCATATGAAAATTTAGACACAACTGTTTGTTTTTTTACTTTTCCAGCTAATCAATGAATTCCTAAGAAAGAAACAAATCCTTGTTGTTGATCTTCTAATGTCTGGACACACTACCTAATCAGAATCCAAGAAACCTTTAAGAATCAATGTTGATGATGAGCTAAAGAACGAGCCATTATCAGGACTATCTTTGAGGTACTTAAAAGCATGCAAATTTGCTAACATGTGTTCATCAGTAAGTGCACTTAGAAATTGACTAAGCTTGCTTACATCATAAGAAATCTTTGGTGTGGAATATATTAGGGACATAAGTCTCCCAATTAATCTTCTGTATGCAGTTGGATCAAAAAGTGACTTACCAAATCCCTTGTGCAATTGCAGGTGAGGTTGCATAGGAGTAATGCATGGCTTTACTCCACTCAAGCCAGTGTCTTGCAGGAGATTTAGTGTGTATTTCCTTTGGCATTATATGATACCTTATTTTGACCTATTCACTTCAAAGCATATAAAATATTTAAGAACTCCTAAATCATTCTCCGCAGGTTTTATACTCTATTTGAATGTTGCTATGTCTCTGATGGGCGAGGTGTAATGACTCTTTCGAGACTATTGTGAGCTACCATGATTAAAGGTACGTTATTTTGCATCTCTGGCCTTACTTTTAGCATTGATTTCCTCGCTCTTTATATAACATTTTGCACGTGTCACTACCTCATTCAGGGAAGTTGTTGGCCTCTCAACGAGGGCATTGTTAAAATGTCCCGCCTTGAGTCTATTTTGAAATGGTCATGCGAACATTTTCTATTTAGGATGGATGACTCATTAAAACGAGCAAGGTACTTCCTCAAAGATTCAAAAGGGGGTTGGCGAATATTGAAAAGGATGGTGGCTACCATCTTTTAGCGTATGCTTGTTACGAATTGACAAATTAGTTTCTTCACCAAGTCTTGATAGTTGGGGCATGCCCATGACCTTAAGGATGCATCTTTGAAGGCGCCAGAGAAGAGCTTCCACTTCAAGAAATTAAGAGCCCCGATAATCTCCATTTGCGTGTTGATGGATGTGATATGCTCATATAGATCGTTGCACCCATCAAATTTAACAACAAGAGCGACTTGAAATTCTATGGCACCAAAGCCTCCCATATTTCATCAGAGTGAGGTTATGGGTATGTTATTTCAAATTTTTTTATAGAATCAACCTCTCACTGACGTTGCTGGATGTGAAGGACGTTATCCTCCAAGATTTGATTCTAATAGTGTAATTCGTCTATGGCAGCTTACATCTCTACCATGGTGCCCTTCTCGTCGTTATATTCACTATTAGATGTAGTTGTTACCTTTGTGTTTACCATAATTGGAAGAGAAATGAATAACGAGGATATCAATCTGGCTGGATAAGGTGATGGTGACCCATATTAATTTTACCAGCCTCACAATGACTCTAGTTGTACATGTTAAAAGTACAATAAGTGAGAACCCATAATGATTAGTTGTTAGAGGCTTTTAGGGTTAGTTGTAGGATTTAGAGCTAGCTCACACATGAAGGTATATATATATATATATATATATATATATATATATATATATATATATATATATATATATATATATATATATATATATATATATATATATATATATATATATATACATATATATATATGGTGTATGCGTAAATGAGATCGAATCCATATCAACTTCAGGGTTGAGATATTTATAAGAGTTTTTGAGCTTGGATCTCAAATCCATAACAAATATCAACTACTTCTGAGAGAACATGGTAATGAATAATTAATTCCATGTTATTCTAAAGAGCACGATTAATTTTCCCATGACTTCTTCTCCCCACCATTGTGGACCAGGGGAAAGTCAATTCCCATGTTCTCATGCTTTAGGCAAGTTCTCTAGGAAGTGAGCGACATATTTGAGGAAGAGACGTCGCATTGTGATCGATTTAGAAAATAGACGATTAGGAAGGCGCTATGGGTGAGGTGTTATATTGTTTGCATCCCATGTCACCCCTTGTTTGGATCCTTTACAAATATACTAATACAACTCAATTGGTGAAAACTTACCCATTCAAAAAGCCATGGATTCAACTTTCATTGTAGATGAATTTTATATAATGGTTCGCCGATATAATTTTTTTTTACACGAGATGTGTACATAAATAAAATTAAATAAATAATATTTTTTTAACCAAATTATTTCACATTTTTGTTTGTGTCAATCCTTCAATTTTTAGGAGAGGATGGGAGGAGATAGTTAATAATCTAATAGTTTAATGTTCGACAAAAAATAAATAAAACTTAATCGAGAATTATTTTTCTCAAAAGTCGAACTAAATAAAATATACTCCTTTTGATTCTTTTTATAAGAAACACTTGATTTTTTTAGATTCATTGAATAATTAATGTATCTGATTTATAAACAGCCTAGATATATTAATTATTCAATAAATTTAGAAAGATGAAATGTCTCTTATAAAAAAGATCAGAGGGACTATAATTTAGTTCACGGTCTTATGTAGGGGTGTTCAAATCTAAAACAATCCAAATAAAAAATAGAAAACCGATCCAAAAAACTGAAAACCGCAAAAAATTGAAATTTATTGGATATGTTTGGATGTCATTTTGTGAAAACCGATCGGTTCAGATCGAATTTCAGATTAATTTTTTAAAACCGATCCAAACTAAACCAAACTCATATCTTTTTTATACTTATTTACTTTTTATTAGAATGATATGTTATGTGAATTTATTATTAGATTATGATAATTTTTTTAATAATAATTATTAATTTGGTATAATTTATTTATTTTTATTATTTCAATCATAATCAACAATTCTCATTTTGTAATATTAACTTTTAATATACTATATGTTATATATTATATCAAATCTATGAGTTATTAGTAGTTTTATAATATTAATAAAAATATAATGTGTAATTTGAATATCCAAAAATCGAATCAAATTAAACCGCATAAAATTAGATCGGATCAGATTTTTTTAATATATCATCCAAAATCGAACTGAACCGCAAGTAAATTTATTTTTAGATCACATAAATTTTTCTTAAAATTGATCCAAACCGAACCGCAAACACAACTACTAGTCTTATGATTCAGCCATTAATAATGGTAGTATAGTACCCATTTGATAAAAAGGGTAAAGAAAACAAAAACCTGCGTTGTCACTTTGCGTCCATTCTTTTACTCAACAAACCATTGTCAGCAAGACTCTGGGTTTTGCTACACAATCTTCCTCCCCCTTACTCTCTCCAACTACTGTCACCTCTTCACCGGAGGAGGAGACAGTGGCCACCACCTCCACTCCCCTCCGCAATTTTCCTTTCATCTCCGTCATGACGCTCCATTTGTCCACCCTGTAATTCAACTCCCATGCCCTATTCTTGCCCTTGAAGAACCCTCTTGTAAGTTCAAAACCCTAATTTATTTTCCGTGTAATTCATTTTTCATTCTCTCTTGTTCCGTTAATCCTCAATGTTAGCTGTAGTTAGTTAGTTAGGGTTTTTAGTTTCTCTTGATTTTGATTAGCTCAAGTTTCTTATTACTGGTTAGGAAAGTGGTTAAGATGGCATGGATGAAAGAAAACGATGGGAATGGAAAAGAAAAAGAGTTAGGTGGAGATAATGGTTTTTCCAAAGTGAAAGAATCGTCTGTTAGTTCTGCTGGTGGTGCTGTTTCGCTGAACCGGAAATCGGATGTGAAAGAAGATATTTGTTATGCTAATATTTTGCGCTCGAGGAACAAGTTTGCGGACTCGCTTGCTTTGTATGAGCGTGTCTTGGAGAGTGATGGTGGGAATGTGGAGGCTCTTATTGGGAAAGGGATATGCTTGCAGATGCAGAATACGGGGAGGCTTGCTTTTGATAGTTTTTTGGAGGCGATTAAGTTGGATCCTCAGAATGCTTGTGCTCTCACACATTGTGGTATTCTTTATAAAGAAGAAGGTCGTTTGATGGAGGCAGCTGAGGTATGTCTATTGCTAGATGAATAGTTTTTGATGAAATAGCATGGCATTTTTGTTTTCTAATTCTACTTGTTGATGATGATACATGAGTGCTTTAGCCGCCCGTGAAAGTTTTCCTCTTTTTACGTATAAACTCTGTTTATAAACGACTTAGTGGTGACTAGATTTTATTTGTTGATTGCATCCATCTCACATAGTATATTGAGTGAGGTATATAATGCAGTTCTAATAAGTATAACTGATTTCTGATTATGCCTTGAATATATGCTTGTTAGTAGTTTGTAAAACCTTAGTTATTTTTAACATACGAACACACATGAAACTTTTTGAACAAGCTATCAGATTGAAGTTCTGTGAGTTGCTTAGTGAGGGCACTTTGTGTCAGCATCCTTGATATTATATGCATTAAAGAATTGATACACAATTGCATTTTATGTTTGCAAGACAATAACTAAGAGTTGGACTATTTCCTATGAATGTAATACATTCAAACAATACCCATTAAGAATTGATATTATATGCAAATAATTTTCTTGAGGTTTTAGACTATATATGCAACATTATTGTCTACTGGTTAATAGATCTATAACTTGCTTTTCTTTCAGAACATCCATGCAGTTCTTGACTGATGAATGCGTATACTTAGACTACCAGCATAATTTATTTAATTTGTTTACCCTCCTCTATATATGGTTAAGGTAATGGTAGTTAAAAGTATGGATTGATGTGTAAGATTGCGCTATCTTCTGGGTTTTTCCAACTTTGAGCAATCCCGATTCACAGAAAAATTGTGAGTACGTTGGATTGGCAGGGATTCTTTGTAAACAAGTCCTTTTCTGTCTGTAGGTTTCATGACCCCACTTTTGAAAAACCCATTTCATGACTAAAACAGAACCCTAGCGCAATTTCTCATTTCTTTTCTTTTGAGTCTTTGACACGACGGCCAAAGAAGAGAAACACGAATCACAACCAAAACTGCCCCATCCAAAGTCACCCATGGAGGTTTTGGGGGAGAAGAAACAAAGAGGGACAAATGGGTGGTCTGCAAGTTGAGTATATTTTTAGATCTCACAGGCAAGGCACAGTATTGTATCTGCTTGGGTTCATGAGCAAAGGGTCCCAAGTCTAATTCAAGGCCAAAATTCATCGGGCCTTAATAAGGCACATCTAGCCCAATTCATAATTCAGGCGACATGCTCATGTTTTCATTACGCCGTTTATTTGCTGACCGGATTATTCACCAGGTTCACTGCTAAGCTGAACTTGCATCTACGAAGTTTGGAAAAGATTGTCTTTGGAAACAACTGTGATTTGGCAACTACTTCAGGAAAGTGCAGATCGATCAGATCCGTATAGAATTTTTTACCCCTTTACATCTAGCTGGCTTATCAAGTACCTAACGATGGGGTCCTAGGGGGAAGTTTATTTTTTTTCAACAACTACTAAACACGATAGAATTTAGTATATTATATTGCAACCTTGAGGACAAGTTTTTTAAAGGGGTGTATTGTTAGGACTAGGATATTTTGATATCGTATCTTGAATTTCATTATATTATATTATTATCTACTAACTAATTATAGCATATTTTGATATTAAAGTATATTTTAATATTTTCAGTAGGATTTTACTATCTGTGTTATGCTCCCGCTATTGCGATTTCTATCTTGACTCGTCTTCCCGATCCCAAGTAAAATAGCAATTTTGACTGCCTTCGTTAGGGTATTATATGATGTATGGATACCTTAATGTGGACGTCCTTAGTGTCATATTTGTCCTTTCTTGGGACCGTACCAAAGTTTGATATTGTGGGGTTTTCTGCCATAATCCGCTGTAATGGAACTGCGAAGCGGCCGGTATGGCGGGATTTTTGGCTCTCCGCTATGGACCGCCATCGACAATACAGCATGTTAGTATTGATTTCAGTAGTATATTAACAATTTGGGTTTAAGTTATCTAGAGGAAACATCTCATTTATACACTAGATAAATATAGTATATATAAAGAAACAATATCCCAATCACTACATACACGATACATTGAATCTAGACATATGATACATCATTTGAATAGAAGCTATCACTGATAATCAAATGATTTACCTGGAGCAGTCATATCAAAAGGCGTTACGGGTGGATCCTACGTACAAAGCAGCTGCTGAATGCTTAGCCATTGTACTAACGGATATTGGTACCAACATAAAGCTTGCAGGAAACACTCAGGAGGGAATTCAAAAATATTTTGAAGCTCTAAAAGTAGATCCACACTATGCTGTAATTCTATTCAATCCTTTCCCCACATTTTTCCTTTTTATTAAATCCATTTAAATTTTATCAGCTTTTTACCTGCATACGATGAATAATTTTCTTTCTCTTTGTCCTTGCAGCCAGCATATTATAACCTTGGTGTGGTCTATTCTGAAATGATGCAATATGACATGGCCCTCACTTTCTATGAAAAAGCTTCCTCAGAGAGGCCTATGTATGCTGAAGCATATTGCAACATGGGTGTGATTTATAAAAATCGAGGTGATTTGGAAGCGGCTATTACTTGTTATGAGAGGTACACACATATCTAGGCTTACACTTCTTTTGACGAGCCAAGTTTTGCATTTTTTTGTTTGTTTAGAGTATTAGGATTAGCTTATTTTGTGTTCAAAGTAGCTTATAAACAAAATCTTGTCGGGAGAGCTTTTGGAAAACAATGATTTTCCCTAGAATTAAGGGTCTATATGTGTATTTTAACTAGAAGACGAATAAAAAATAACTAAAAAAAATATATTTTTCAATAAGATAAGTGCAAAAATGTCAAAAAGCTAATTTAGTGCTTTTATTAGAAGGTAGACATAATAGTATTTAAATAAAAGCTCTATGAAAGTTTTGTTGTAGAACAATTTTTAATCTTGCCTGTTTTGTTTTAGCTTAAAGAAGCGGGACTCTATAGTAATCTAACATTTTGAAAGATAGGGTTGTTTCGATTGAGAAAGTGTTTTCTGCTTAAGCTTTCAATTTTTACTGCTAAACTGTACTTGTTTTCATTCTGGTTCTTGTTTCATTTTTTTTTTACAGGGAACAGTTTTAAAACAACTATTTCCTGTAAAATCATTGAAAACATAAAAAGTGGAACAAGAGGGCGTTTTAGTAATTAAAATGAAACCCCCAAAAAATGAAATATGGAAAATGCCTTCTCAAACCGAACACGCCTTACTATTTTTAGCTTTTGAGAAAAACACAAAAATGATTTCTTTGAGTTTTTATTTGAATTACATAATTGTTGTAATTTTTTCAATGATACCTTTTAACTTCAAAGTATGGTAAGATTATACGAGATAAGATTATAAATAGGTAGCAACTAAAGTAGAAAAGATGATGGAAAATAGAGTTAGGTGGGTTGGGCATGTACGGAGAAGACATAGAGGTAGAGGAAGACCTAGGAAAACTAAAAGAGAAACTATTAAGAAAGGTCTTGAGATTAATGAATTGGATAGAAACATGGTCTTTGATAGAACATTATGGTGTAGTTTGATTCATGTAGCCGATCCCACTTAGTGGGATAAGGCTTGATTGTTAATGTTGTTGCACCTTTTAACTTAAAAACACCTTTTCTTTAGAAGAAGCACAAAGAAATGGACCTTAATCTAGTTTAAGCATGAACTTAATTACTGGACTTATGCTGTAGGTTTATATGATCAACTTATGTTTTATGGCAGGTGTTTAGCTGTTTCACCTAACTTCGAGATTGCCAAAAATAATATGGCTATAGCTTTGACAGATTTGGGAACAAAGGTGATGCATGCAGCGCTAACTTTTTCAGCAATTTTATTGATATTGTTATGTATGAATGCACTCTTTCTTTGTTTTTAAACGAAAAAAATCACAAAGTACTTCTATTATCAACATGAATAATAGTGCAATGATAGTTATATCAACATGAATAGTAGTGCACTGATGACCTTTAGGAACAAATTTTAGGAAAACTTTTCTGACTTGAAACGGGCGGTAGTGTGGTTTGTGTTTGTGAATTAATGTATTTTAATTTTTCTTGGACTCCTTTCTTTCTTTCTTTCTTTCTTTCTTTGTATTCCTCATGTGCAATGAGATGCATCGACAACTTTGGACAATATTTTCTTGCTTATGAAGACCACTGTATTGTTTTATATAGGTTAAATTGGAGGGCGACATCAACCGGGGTGTGGCTTTTTATAAAAAAGCCTTATTTTATAACTGGCATTATGCTGATGCTATGTATAATCTCGGGGTTGCTTATGGTGAGATGCTTAAGTTTGATATGGTACGTCTTGCGCATACATCTGTGTATATTTCTTACATAATGCACACACACGGAATATAGTAAGATCTTAGATACAGCTTTATTGTAATATTAATTGCTACTTTGGAATTTTTTTATACTACTTAGGCTATTGTATTCTACGAGCTTGCCTTTCATTTCAATCCACATTGTGCGGAAGCTTGTAACAATCTAGGTGTTATATATAAAGATCGTGACAACCTTGATAAAGCTGTAGAATGCTACCAGGTAATGGCAGTTCCAGTTGTTTCAATATCAACCCTTGATGGATTGCATATATATTTGATAGCAACTTTTTTTTTTCTGTATTGTAGCTTGCTTTGTCAATCAAGCCCAACTTTTCACAGTCATTAAATAACCTTGGTGTTGTCTACACTGTCCAGGTAAGCATCTTACTATTTTTTAATTTTGAAGTTGATCAAATATCTTCATTTACTAATTTTACTATATTTTCTACTTTCCCCAGGGTAAGATGGACGCCGCGGCAAGTATGATTGAGAAAGCTATCATTGCAAATCCGTCATATGCAGAGGCCTACAATAACCTAGGTCTTTTTATCCTTTATCCTTTATCTAATAAATTACTCTCTCAGTTCCTAAATATAAGCACCCATCGCACATTTCATTCTTATGAAAAGTTGATAGTGTAGTTAACGTGTTTATTTTGTAGAAGAGTATGTGTAAATTGTCCTTTGTGTATAGACATATTCAATGTTGTTTTTTAATTTTCCATGGCAAATTTGAGGACTTTTATGTAGAATTCCTCCGTGCAAATGTTTATGAGTATGCGTTGACCACTTGGTCAATAGCTAAATAGAAAAAAAGTAAGGTTATGCTTGAAAAAAACGTAATAAATCCATCGAGTAAAAGGGGGCTTATATTTAGAGCCAATTTTTTTCTTCCAATGGTGCTTATAATTAGGGACAAAGGGAGTAGTTGTTTGGCCATTTTGGTTTGTGACAACTGACAACTTAGGTATTTATCTTTGTTAAGGTATTTGTCTTTGGATTTTGTTTAACATGGCTTTGATCAAATATGGATTATGCGTTGAATATATGAAGCGGTTTTCTTAGTTGAACTTTGTCAAGTTTCTTGGATGCACAGAGTCGTCTCCTTCTCAACAATCAGATTCTTCACTAGTCTAACTATGGTTGAGTAACATTATGATAGATTTATTAGGATGGTTAGAAAAGGAAAAGAAATAATGCCAAATCAAATTGAGATAAATCACATATGCTGTTTCTTTTGGTCAGACCATTTTTCTGAGAGTAAAAGCATGTCAATTAGTTATACAAATATTTAAAATTAGCTGTAAAATTACATTGATAAATATTCCATGCATTTAAAATGAAATGTTGTTTCTCATTATGTTTAGTTACAAAAATACGATTTATTTCCTAGTGTCCCTGTGATTAAAACCGTTTTCTATCATAAACTTCATCTTTTCTGTTCTTGTTGTGCAGGAGTTCTTTACAGAGATGCTGGTGATATTGCTCTAGCAATTAATGCTTATGAACAATGTCTCAAGATTGATCCCGACTCTCGAAATGCTGGCCAGGTCTGTTGCACTATAGCTGAATGTTTTGTTTTTGTTAACCTGTGTAAAATTTTCCAAAGCTTGCACTTGCCAGCTTGGATGCTACATAGATTTGTTTAATCTTTCATTTTTGGGCTGAATATTAAAGTCAATGGTTGTAGAAAATGTGTCTTTTAATTAGTTAAGCTTTTTTGTAAAGTGATTGTATGGTATCCTTATTTTGATGCACCTTAATGTGCAGAACCGCCTGCTTGCAATGAATTACATAGATGAAGGAAATGATGACAAACTTTTCGAAGCTCATAGGTAGCAACTTTCTCCTAATTTTTTTTTTGTATTTCAATTTCTATTTATTTGTTGCATTTTACTGATTTTACTATATATAATAATGTTTCATCATCTTCACTGATTATTTAAATTTTCTCATAACCTACCTATGTGATATTGGGATGAGAGAACATAGCAACTTCGTTGATTTTTCATAAATGTTGGGTGACATGTAGTATTTACTTTACCCGGATGACAAAGTAAATATACTTCTTCTGCAACTACTTTGTGCTGGCGGGGAAGGGTGTGGGGGAGAGAGAGAGAGACATAGTTTGTGCTTTTTATTAAATATTGATAATGTTGTTTATGGTGATGGTTAATAAGAGGAAAAGTAAAAACTGCTTAAAAGAAAAGAGTAAAGATATTAAGGCATCCGTATTTTCCTACATCTATGACACATAATCACGTTAAAAACGTGGTTAATTCAATTGAGTAGATGGTTTATTTAGTTCACATCCAAAAATTGTGATTAATTCAACCACATGATTAACCACAATTTTACACTTTTCTACGTGATCTAAATTAATAATATACTCAACTGAATTAACCACAACTTTGCTTGTGATTAACCACGCTTCTTTTAAATCACAATGCTGTATTATGTGAATATAAGCTATTTTCTGCTTGATATTTAGGAGTATGTGTTTTTTCATGCTGTCTATGCAAATAACATTTCTTTAGACTTTGTTTGCGAGTTTGGAGAAGAGGGAAATGTAGGGTTTTGGGGAGAGGGGAGCTAGTGGAAAAATAGAGAAATCTTCCTTATGTTTTGAGAGAATGCTTTTGTAGGGAAAGATAAATGAATGTTTATCATTAATATGTTTAATTTTAAGAATAACATAACAACATAGATTGAATTTGAAAAATTTATTTAAACCCTCCTAAATCCTCTCCTTCAATACAATATCCAAAATCCTCTCAAAATAAGAGAACTCAAAAATTGCATTGAAAGAGGATTTTGGAGGGTTTAGATAGATTTTTCAAGTTCAATCTATTTTGTTATATTACTCTTAAAGTTAAAATATGTTAATGATAAATATTCATTTATCTTTCTCTTGAGAAACACTCTTAAAAAAAAGAAAAGGGAAAAATTTCTCTATTTCCCCCCTCTAATTCCCTTCCCCCAAAGCCCTCCCTTTCCTTCCTCTTCAAACTCGCAACCAGAGCCTTATGGTATCAAATTATCAATTATGTGCATGGGCTGTGACTGATTGTAGTTTCAATTGCCAAAATTGTCATCCATAATATTTTCATCTCCTGCAGTTTACTTAATATGTGAAAGTAGAATGGCATTTAGATTTAAGACTTATCAAAACAGTGTTTCCTTTCAGGGATTGGGGTAGGCGGTTTATGAGACTATATCAACCATTCACATCATGGAACAACTCAAAAGATCCCGAACGGCCTCTTGTGATAGGATATGTGTCTCCTGATTATTTTACACACTCTGTGTCATATTTCATAGAAGCTCCCCTTATCTATCATAACTACGCCAAATATAAAGTGATTGTTTATTCAGCAGTTGTGAAGGTATCATTTGCTGAATTGATTTTTTTGGAATGTTGAAAATATTGATATACTGCTTACTTGTTGGAGATCTTGATAACATTGGAAAACTAACCTCTAGTTGTCACAGGCCATGAATGAAGTTGTTAGTGATATTCTCTTGGATATTGGAAATTTACCTTTTTCTTTGCACATTCATTCAAATTGGTGCTCATGTGATATTTTGGATTAAGTATTAAAAGTTCGTTATATTTCTATCAATAGTTTATGGCTTACAAATTATCAGGCCTGCCTCATGTAAATGCAAGAGATCACGTCTACAATAGAATCACAATAGGTGTGACCGTTCCCTGGATCTAACCATAGCAGCCAGGTTGTTTATTGATCCTCAGGCTTAGTAGGAGAGAATCAAGTATAACCTGCATGGAGAGTTCAACATAATTTGTCTTGTCATAATTCTAATTATTGTTAACATTCTAACTGAGGTTCCATAATTAAGTTATTAATATCCCTTTTTTCCATTTTAAAATTAATTTTCTTGTGATGTTGCAGGCAGATTCAAAAACCATTCGGTTTAGAGAGAAAGTTTTAAAGAAGGGTGGGATCTGGAAAGAAATTTACGGGACTGATGAAAAAAAGGTCGCTGATATAATTAAAGAAGATCAAGTTGATATTTTGGTAGAACTTACTGGTCATACAGCAAACAACAAGCTGGGAATGATGGCATGTCGACCTGCTCCAGTTCAGGTATTTTTTTTTTCTTTTCAAATCTGTATGTATACTTTTTCCTTTGTTTTTCAGCTTACAGCTTTTCTTACCCTTGCTTGCTACATGATGCAGATATGGTTTTCTTTTTTATACTCAAATCTCTATTGATTTGTATCAGATTTGTTCTGTGAAAATGCAAATTAGTATTTTATTGCATATGTTGGCATATCATTTCTGATTTATGTGATTTTCTGAGTAATAGAAACTGGAAGAATTCTTTGACAGCACGTCTTAGTTTAGCCTGGTTATTTTCCAGTATTTACTCCTAAAATATGATTAATTTGTTGATGGGCAATATCAGGCAAGAATCCAAAAGCGAGGGGCCATATGTGTATATAATATTTGAAAGAAACTTACTGAGTAAATACATTTGAAACAACTATCTTAGATATATGTCTTTATCTATGTTTTCATTTCAATCTTATACATAGCCTTCTCCATGAATGTGCTAAATCTACTCATCAAGCATGTGATATGTAGTGGCTTGCATCATTTTATGACAACAGGCGTTATACTGCCATTAATGTGGCAAATGTATGTAATTTGATCTCTGCAAAATTGTAACTTATGTTGTTTGACGAGCAGGTGACTTGGATTGGTTATCCCAATACTACAGGATTGCCTGCAATTGATTACAGAATATCTGATTCACTGGCAGACCCTCCTGAAACAAAGCAGAAGTAGTTATCTTCTTGAATTTCCGTACATTCTTGTCATTGATCTATGTTTTTCTCTATCACTTTCGTTGCAGTTTATTTTCTCATGTCATGTTTTTTTTTTTTTTTGTTATAGGCATGTTGAAGAGTTGGTCCGATTACCAAATTGCTTCCTTTGTTACACTCCCTCCCCTGAGGCCGGTCCCGTGTGTCCGACTCCTGCCCTTTCCAATGGTTTTATTACATTTGGTAGTTTTAACAATCTTGCCAAGGTAGTGTTTATGTTAAAATATTTGTGTACTTGTTTGTTCTTTAAGACAAGTCTTGTATCTCCTATCTTATGTTATTTTGTTTCAACAGATTACTCCTACAGTATTGAAGGTTTGGGCAAGGATATTGTGTGCAATTCCGAATTCTCGCCTCGTGGTAAAATGTAAACCATTTTGCTGTGATAGTGTGAGACAGAGGTTTCTTTCAACCCTAGAACAGTTGGGATTGGAACCACTACGAGTTGATCTTCTGCCCCTTATTCTACTTAACCATGATCACATGCAAGCATATTCTCTGATGGACATCAGGTAATATCTATTTTTCTATTCTTTGATGTTTTTATGGTTCTGCCTGAACTCATTTTGTTTTACAAACAGGTATTGATTTACTGTTGGATGTGTTCCGTTATTATGTGCAGCACCTGTGTTTGATCTGTTCTTCTAATTAATTCTTAATCCTTTTCATATCCTTGGTGCAAATTGGATACAGTTGTGGTGCAATATAAAAAAATTCTTGGACGCTTGAATGATTGACTCAACTTGGAACATAGCATAATTAATAATATAAATGAAAAACTATGCATTTGGAACATAGCATAATCAAGAGAGCATTTACTCAAGGCGTTTCTGTGGAAAATTTCATCAAAATCAGACATGTTCTTATTCTTACTCTGTTAAATTATTTTAGCATCCTAAAACTCAGTAATTCACATGTATACTAAGGATGTTTGTATCAGATTCTAATTACTGAATAGCATGGAAACTTAAAATATAAAGTCTACTTACATTGCAATGGTTAGTTAGGTAGTCAAAATCTCAAACTTACCATTTGCTGGTATATCCTTAACTACATTTGATTGTCAGAGTCAGTCTATCTATGTAACGGCACCTTCCTTGAAAAGTATCGAATGTAATGGAGTAGTATATGAATATCCTATAGAATAGGGCAGTTGGAAACTGTGTACAAATATACTAGATTACAAGTTATTTCCTGGTTATTTCGTGGAGTGTGAAACATATTACGAAACAGCTACTTTCCATACTATTCTGCTTATCTTTATGTGCTTTCTATTTACATATGTCGATTTTAATCTTGTCGTCAATCATGATTGAGGTCTTACTAATATTTTGTTGGTTGTTTGTTTGTCTAGTGAAATGACAGTCAGTGCTACGAATATATGTTGAAAATGACAAAAATCGAACTTTGGATATGTGGTTTTGATTACAATTATAAGAACAGAATGTGTGTATGTTAAATAACTTGTTTTATACCTCTGCGTACTGTTCTTTTGTAGTTTGGACACATTTCCATATGCTGGGACAACTACGACATGTGAATCTTTATACATGGGAGTTCCATGTGTTACAATGGCTGGTTCAGTACATGCACACAATGTTGGTGTTAGTCTTCTTAGCAATGTTGGTATGGAATCCACTTTAATATTCGTATGATGTTGAGTATATTCAGTAATCATTATTACTATTACTTCCCAATAGCTGTTGCATGTTTTACCTTGTGGTTTTGTGGAATGCGTTTCAGCTAGCCAAATCAGTGCCTGGCTAAAGTCTTTGAAACTTTCTGATATTTTGGCTCGGAATTCAATCTCCATCTTATTTTGTCACATTAGTAATCGTTTTTATTTGATTTCACATGGCTTTATTGAAATGAACAGTTTTTGTTATCCAGAAAACAGTTTAAAAGTTAGTCTTATCTAAATAAAGCAGTTTTTTTTCTTCTTAAAATCAACGTTATAAAGTCTTGTCGTGTTTACCAATAGTTTTCCTTAGTTTCCCTCAACCTCTAATTGTTTTCCTTTGCCTTCAGTATACAATAGTGTTTAGAGCATATATATTTGCATTATTTGGCTTCCTCATTTAACATGAATATTTAACTTTTAACAATTCAGGGCTGGGGAATTTGATTGCCAAAAATGAAGACGAATATGTTAAATTGGCCATGAAGTTAGCCTCCGACATTCCAGCATTACAAACCTTGAGAATGAGTTTACGAGAGCTCATGTCAAAGTCCCCTGTTTGTGATGGAGCAAACTTTATCCGTGGTCTCGAGTCAACATATAGGAGCATATGGCGCAGATATTGTGACGGAGATGTTCCATCTTTGAAACGCCTGGAATTATTAGAACCACCTGTTTCTACCGACAAGAACTCTGAGCCAACAAGGGTTACTAACGGAATTGAGGGCAGCACTGGATCTGTCAAGGCGAATGGATTCAATTCAGCACAGCCACTTAAGCTTAATACTAACGGCTGGGAAGAAAATGGCGGGTCCTTGAAAAACAGTAAGTAGGCAGGGAGCTGTGTGTTCAAGTTGAATTTAGGGAGTGGTTCAAGGGTGTTGAACTGTATTACTATTGGTGGATTATTAAGCTGGTATGTATATTGTGGCTACTAGTGGAAGCGGCTTGCATCAATCACAGCCTCTCAAAATGAAAGCTTTTCATAGAATGCCAATTTTTTGGGAAAGAAGTGTCAGCAATGGTCATCAAATCGATCTGTCTCCTCAACTGATGTGGATACGTAATGCTGCGATGCTGCATTAAATAGCTGTAACACATCTTTTTCCCTGAATTATAGCCAGTGTTGTTATAGCAGCTATGCTTAAATCACTATTTCACAATATATGCTATTGAGTTCAAGGTGTTGTCAAAGGGGTTTGTGATTGACAACACTGGTTATAATAGTTAGAGTGTAGGTTGTGTATCTCTTTCTTTCTTAGAATACCATCGTTGGCTACTTAACAACAATGGAGTGTATGTATCTCTTTCAAAAAAACAAAAACAATGGAGTGTCTGAATTAGGGGTGTGCATGGATCATAAACCAAATCAAATTGAATCATATATATGATTTGGTTTGGATCTTAAAACTGTTTTCATAAAATTAGTTTATTTTTTTAAAACCGGCTTACATGTGAAACAATTCAGTTCTAAACCGGTTTCTCACAAAAAAATCAGTTTTAAAAAAAACCAGTTTTAAACTGGTTTCTCTCGTAACCAGTTCTCTAAAAAAAAACAGTTTTAAAATCAGTTTTATAAAAAAACCAATTTCAAATTCAGTTTTTAAAAAGAAATCAGTTTTATATCAAAAATGATTTTATTGTCTTTAATCAAATATTCACACGTGCCTGATTTCCAAGTTAAATCACAAATATGTCACATCCCTCTTTTCAGTTGATATAAATGTTTCAAGAAATTATATAATATAGTTTTCGTTGACGAGTCACATAACTTCTATGACAAACTAGATAGATACATTAAAATTAAGATAAATCATATGTTATCAATCACATCATGGCAAGCAAAACAAAGACAATGTGGCCGAAGAAACTTGTTTTCTACCTACAGCATACAAGACTCACATAACACAAACACAAACACTGTCTTTGTAGTGTTTGTGTTATGTAGTTTAATCCCAGAATAATACTATTTTACTCAACACCATTACAAATGGAAAAATAACTATTTAAAAATAAGAAAAAGATGATATTATATTGGTGTTAATTGCGTGTTTATTTGAAGAGGATAATACAATCGGATGAGTGCTGTTAGTTACATTGCTGGTTACTTGCTACGTAAGCTATTGACTAGAGCATAGTTCATTGTAGCTTATTATGTGACTTAGGCAAATTATATAAACCAATAAAAGTGACATTAATAATTGAGAAAGAAGTCAACATAGTAATCACTAAGAATCTGAGAAGTTCATCACATTGTTTCAAAAGTTTGTTTGAAGCTTTTTAAAGTTAGTTACCACTTTTTGTTTTCTTCCATTTGTCGTTTATTCTGCACTAATTTTGCTTCAATTCACCTCTTTTATTGCTATTGATTTTGAAATTACTCTCTTACATTTCATTCATTGCTTAGATTTCCCCCTTTATGTTTTTTTTTCCTATTGATTTTAAATTCATTTGTGCTCATCATCGATGCAACTGCAACCAAACATGTTTCTACGCTTCATATCACAAATTCTCTCGTAGATTGACATTAAATTTGCGTTCTATATTCATCACAGTGGAAGTCTAATTCAGTGAATGTGATACTAAAACTGAATGCATCGATGAAACGAATTTTGTGTGCAAGTCAGAAGTCAATGAATTTAACATGATTCAATTTAGGGTCTGTATAGTAAAAATAACGATTGGGTGATAAATTAGTTGATAATTTATAATTGATGACTGATGACTGATAATTTATAATTTATAGTTGATGTTTGAGACTGATAGTTGATAGAGAATTTCTCTTTACACCTCTGAAAAACCGAAATACCATTCAGAGATGCACTTCCGAACGCACCTATCAGCATGTTTCAGATGTGCATCTCCGAAGACACCATTTTCCCAAGTTTTATAACATAAACATTGTATTTGAAATTCTTGAGCTAGTTTCGGAGATGCACATCCGAAACATTTTTGAGGTGACTTCGGAAGTGCATCTCCGAAATTTTCTATGTTTGTGTCATTTTTGTTTACAACAACATAATTACTCCTACCATATAAACGGACAAATTATTTAAAAATATGAAATGAACAATAATATTTCAAAAATAACGATTATATTAGATGTTCAAACATATGAAAATATAATTTAGTATATAAGTTGTTCGGAAAGTGCGTAATGTATAAATATTACATCAGTTACAAAAAATAATACATAACATAGGCTACTACTACTACGTATGTCTCATCCTCACCCTCTCGTGACCTCCTCTACCGAGTGTAATGCACCGCACTAGCTGCATCCCTAACCATCCTCTCAACTATGGCAACCGCCTCAGGACCACCCCTCTCGATGATACTAGAATCCAATGCCTCATATCCAAGTAGGTGTATCCACTGACAGATCGATAAAAGATTAGTGACATGGTCATCCTCGGCCTGCTGGTTCTCCAAGATCTCCTCATGAGCTGACATAGGTGGTCGTCCAGGATCATCCGGTGGCATGATATAGTGTGTCACATTAAAGAACCATATCGCGTAACCCTCTACACAATGCCAACTCTCAGATGTAGGCATCATTTGATACTCTTGTGGCACCAAATGATTCTCTCAATCTTAGAAGATGGCATCGAGATCCCGCCAAACAATAGTGTCAGGAGCAACCTGAAAAGGAGATCTCGGTATCATCTGCACATAGCCAAACTGTCGGATACACCTCTTCGGAAGATACCTGACCATAAGATTCGATCCACATACTAGCCACCCAAAATATAACGAGATGTGACCAAATAGGACAACATCCCTGTAATCCTCAAATGACGTCCATTTGATGTCATCATAATTTGTACAGTCAAGATACACACGGTACGACAACACCTTATGATTCCCTCTGTGAAGGACATACTTTGTAGCCCTCAGCATGTCATCAGTATAACTCGGATCAGGCTCGAAACCATGAATGCGGTGGAAGTGAGAGATTATCCAACTTTGAAACAGAAAATATAGAAAATGTAAGTACAAATTATAAAAAACAAATTAACGGTAAAAGTTGAAATGAAAGATAACATGAGGAGTGTGCTAGAACCAGTGAGATGTCTTACACTCATCCTTGAAGCTTCATTCAGCTTCTGGTACATGTATGCCAAAATAACGGCTCCCCAGTTCCACTCATGAACAATACTCAGATCCATAAAATACCAGAGGTATGTTACATCTACGTAGTAGGCACTTTTATCCACAAAGAGGGACATGCCAATTATAAACATGAAGTAACACTATAAAACACAATCACGGTGGTACTGGAAAAAAACCTCATCACAACATCCTCGACCTCTACTGCTGCAACCAGGTGCTCCTTATATAGATCCTTCAGGTGCGAGAAATTTGCATGCACCCCATTTGTGTTTCTGCAGCCCTCAGCTGCCCTATATGGATCAACACCCAGATACTCAATCATCCACTCAATCGTCCCTGCTCATGTTATCTTCTGATGGTTAATTAACCTCCCTATGATAGGTAGATGGAGCAGGCAAGTAACCTCATCAAGTGTGATCGTCATCTCCCCAACAGGAAAGTGGAAAGACGACGTCTCCTTGTGCCACCTCTTAGAAAATGCACCATGCATTCCGTGGCTTATGACCTTATTATTATTCATAATCATCATCATCATCATGCATTAAACTTTTCAAAGAACTAATACTCGATTGTAAGCCATTTTCCATCATAAGTCGATCACTTTTAAGCATCATTGTAGCGGTAGAAATGTTTAATACTAAGCCATTAGATTGACTAGACTTATACAGATCAAATTAAAAATCGCCACCGCGCTTTATCATTTCCAAAGGAATGGGAAAAGAGCGAGTAACCCAAAAAGAGGGGGAAAGATTCAAGGTAAGGGGGTTGGTTATGCAAAGGGAAGGTATTATCACCCTAAACATCTACGGTACTCCGCATGAACCTCTTTGTAAAATTTGTATATTTTGGCTATAAGATATTGTATGTAAAATAGATGATGGAGGTGAGAGAAGAAATATGTTTTCTATGATTTTTGCACCCGTCGCGGTTGTGAACCTTTAGTGCCTATGTACCACCTTTTCATGTAATAGGGGATCAGGATACACGTAGTTCCTCTTTAAAAATTTTAAAACACAAATGTGTTGGTTAATTTTATGAGATAATACATCATTGTCATTTTCCGTGTGAAAAAACATACTTACTATCCACAATCATGAGAAAGGAGAATTTGCATCATCTCAAAATGGAGGATATGGCTTGGATTTTAAAATCAATAATGCCTCACTCAACATCTAAGTGGAAAATATCTCTCTTCACTACACATTATAGAAGTATAGTTATTTGCATCACTACAGGGATTGACTAGAGTCTAATCTTTTGAGAAAAGTTTTAAAGATAAGAGCCAAAATGGTAAAATGGTTTGGATGAGATTGATTGACTTTTAGTCTTCTTACAAAAATGTCAAGATATTATTAAGTTTATTGAAGTTTACTTGTGTAAAGGTTTTTGAAAATGCATGGACCTAAGTCCAAGTTTATTATGAAAGTGGTTCAGGTTTAAAAGGAAGACGAGTTTTAAAAAGGATGGAGAAGATTTTTGAAATTAAAGAAGATGAGAGGAGAAGAAGAGACTATCCTAAAGCATAAGATAAAAGCTAGGGATAAGAACCATCTAACAAACAAGAAGCCAATACTTGATATTATGAGTCAAGATAGAATTCCCATTCTTTGGATTGAAATCAAGCAAGCAAAGATACTAGACCTCTTGTGAGAACCCAAACTTCAAGTGTATTAAGTCTTCACAAAAATTGGGCAGAGTAATGACTGTATGCAGGTGAATT